TCATGGGTTCAAATCCTGTTTAAGCCTGATTTTTTTCGGGTTTAAATTTCACAGCTGCTTAACTTCATAAGTATTTTATGTTATTTTTCCAGTTGCGTTGTAAACATAGCTCACATAATTACTAAGTAGACATTTTGCATGCAAGGGTTGAGAACAGAATTGTGTTCCAAAGGCAATCTTTGATTTGTCCATATTTCACCATTGTGTTGGTGATATTTGAAAAGTTGGTGAGTATTTACTAAGTTTGCTTGTTTTCTTCTCAGTTGAGTTGATGTCTGCTCTTAGTTAACTTACACTATGGTTTAATGTTTCTCTTCAGCATGAATATTTTGAGAAGCACCCTGACGGAGTAAACCCAGTTCGAGCCAATGATGTGTTTTTTACTGTGCATGCTATTCTTCTGACCTTCATCACAATTCTTCAGTGTGTGTTTTATGATGTAAGTACTAACTCTTTATTTATTCAGCTCTATGTAACCAGCATGCTGCAATGATCTGTTTAATCAGTAGTTCTGTTTTATTATTAGATCAAATGACAAGTTGCCTTTGATATTGAAAATTATTGGCTGTCATTTGTGGTACTTGCCAGCATTTTGTAGCTGTCATTTTAGGGTAGCAAGAGCACAACACCATCCTAAGGGGAGGGGAGAGAGGGAGAAAGAGATAAGTTCTTCCCTTTTTCTTTACCTTTCTTTTTCCCCTGCCTCCACCTCTATTCCTTCTGTAAACCAGGTACTAAGGTTATACCATGGAAAAGAAGCAGTGGCAGCAGGGGGGAGGGGCAGAGAGAAGCGGTGGGAGCTTTTTCCTGGCGTGTATATGGAAATATTTGAATGTACATGTAACTTTCAGTGTAATTCTAGCTCATGATGTCTGGTATCTGTGGTAAGTGGTAGTTGTCAATTAAATGCATGCTATCATTGCTGCTTGTGGCTGCTAGTTCTACTAACTTACAAGAAAATTAATGTTAATGGTTGATAAAATACATACTGTGACTACATTTTTATATAAAAATTATTATGTTTTATTCTTTTTTAGCGTGGTGATCAGAGAGTGTCGTTTGTTTCTAAGATCCTGTTGTCTGGTACATGGCTGTTTGCTGCAGTGGCACTAGTGGTGACATTATTGCACAAAATCACATGGTTGACATATCTGTATTACTTCTCATATATAAAAATTGGTGTGACACTCATCAAGTATATTCCTCAGGTTAGTTCAGCTATCTCTCCTCCCTGACCTTCCCTCCTTCTGTCCTTTCTTCCTTCCCTCCTTCCTTTAGTCCTTCCATCCTTCCTACTGTCTGTCCATCCATTCATCTTTCTGCCTGGCTGTCTGGCCATCCATCTGTTCATTTTTCGTCCCTCCTTCTTTCCCTTCATCTTTCCTCCCTTCCTCCTTCCCTACCTCCTTTCCTTCCTTCTTTCCTTCCGTCAGTCCATTGGTCTGTTGGTCCGTCAGTCCGTCAATTCCTCTGTCTTCCCTTCCCTCCTCCCTCTTTCCTTCCTTCCCTCCCTCCCTCCCTTCCTTCTGTCCACCCGTCCATTTGCATTATACTATACAGTCAGACTCCAGAAATTTGGACTCGGTTATTTCCATATCCCCGCTATTTCGAATTCCCTGTTATTTCCAACTCAAAACCATTTTCCTTGGATTTGTTCTTCAGTCATTTACTATCAGCTATTTCAAGCTCCTGCTATTTTGAACTATATTTCAATTCCTCTGAGAGTTCAAAGTAGTGGGGTTCAACAGTATATTCAAAAGTCTTGATCATTATAAAATCATGTTATGCTGCTGTTGATCATATCATAGCATGGTATCAATGTCAACCATGA